GATAGAGTGATCAATGGTGTCGAAGGCAGCAGAGAAGTCAAGGAGGATGAGTACTATACCAAATGTAATCCTTTCAAGTTGGGAGGGCATCCCAACGTATTTCACAGGATAAAGTGTAGTGACTGTTTTTTTCTGGGTAATTGCAGCACAGTTGCGCACAGCTATGTCCTACAAACAATTGTGACATGAATGACCAACTTTATTAGAGGAAAATAATAATAGTAATCCTTGGATTTGATATAGTGCCTTATCACATTATTAAGACATCTCAAAGTGCTTCATATGCTGCACTGTAAAGTATATGAAAAGAACAAACCAAACTTTCCAGAAGCTGCTTTAAGTGATTGTCATGGGACATAGGAATTCAATTCAAGGACAGAGGTGATGGATAGTAAGACTCAGTTGTTAGTTGATGAAGGATTAAGTGTTGAGTCATTAAAAGTGAGATTTGATAGCTGTTGGTTGGAACTTGTTAGAGATGTGAAAGATTGGATGGAGTGAAAGTTATTGATGTGATGAAGGAAGAGGGAGCCCTGGAATATTTCCATGTTGCTAATGGAGAAGTTAAAGTTTACTATATTTAAATTGCAATGCAGAAATTCATAACTTTATCCATTTTCTTCCGATTAAATCCCATAATAAAACTGATCATTTGCTTCATGTGGTACATTGCTGTGCACAAATTGGTTGCTGCATTCACCTACAAATACACAATTACTACGCTTTATTGTAAAATCCTATGAAGTGCTTTGAGATGCTGGGATGTGGAATGCCCTAATAAGTAAAGTGGTAGAGGCAGAGTCCATTTGTGGGTTTCAAGAGGGAAGGAGAAGCGTGGCGGAGTTTTGTATGAGCTGGACCTTGTGGTTGATGGAACTGGGGTGACCGGCACAGAGAGAATTTGAGAAATTAAGGCAGGAGATGAAGACGTGGATGAGGCTTTATGCGACAAAGCAAACATGTTCACCCAACATTTTAAAATGTCCACATTTTATTGACTGTCTAGAGATTGTTGTTCTGTAATCTGCCACAATGATATTCTATTATAGATTTAGCAAGGACTTGATCAATTGATCAGCTTTTAAAATAGTTGAGACTCATCTCAACCGCAATGAAAGAACCTTATCTTGACCAGGTCACAAAATTACAGTCACTACACTTTACAGTGTATTCTGTGAAGCGCTTTGAGACGTCCCGACGATGTGATAAGACACTATGTCAAATGCAAGGATTATTTATTATAGTTTTCCCCTGTGATAGTGAAATAAGCTGTTTTACATTAAGTTATAAATGCAAAAGTGTTCCATTGCTCCATAGATCTTGATCAGTTGTGTCGTCATAATAATTACGTTATGGAAAAACATATTCAAAATGGATATACTTCATTTGTTTGTTTTCGTGATTGATGACTGCCGCTCATCTCAAAGGGTGACACACTACACAATTAACTGGATTGAATGTTCGCAAAGATTTTCTGAAGTAGGTTATAAATGGCTCCAGTTGGCACTATTCCCAGTATCTCTTGTGTTAGATTGAAAACTGTGAGGTATTGCAGGGTTTAATGCTGCATAGTAGAGGGTACCAATACATCAATGTACTTTAGTACTAATGCAGTCACAGGTTAAGGTTTTCCCTAAGGAGATTTTTTACTTTTAAAAGATGAATTACACTATATGAAAAGTCAAAAAGACNAAAAAAATATTTTTCATAATTGACCAAGAATGTTTCAGATCAGTAGCTTGTTAAGCTAAGATGCAAGTACAGCCTTTTTCTAGATACTTGACAATAAAAAGCTTGTGTGTATTACTCTAAATATTTGCATATGGAAACCAGGTTTAGCAACCAAGTGATGTCATCTTGGGGTCAAGAACACTGTTTTCCTGTGATGCTGGCAATTGTCATTCCATCATGCCAGTGTGCTGAATGGAAATACAGGAGTTGTAATGTGGTGATACTTTGGCCCACAAAATACACACACTTTACAATATATCCTGTGAAGCACTTTGAGATGTCTCAATGATGTGATCAGGTACTATATCAAATGCAAGGCTTAAACAAAATGCAGTACTTATGACTGCTTCGAAAGGAAACCATGGATAAGAAACCATATATTGGAGCATAATTTTGGATGATGTCCAGGACATAAACTGAAATTCTACAGTATTTACTTCTGATAGCTTTATATACAGGAATGAATTGTCAAACTTTCATCACAAACTTTATTCTCTCTTTTTTGAGCCTCTTCTGGCTCCTGCCCTTTATGTTATGTGAATAGTTTTAGATTCTTGTCTACTTGCTCATAAAAGTGCGGTTATGTGAGTCACATACTCTGATATTTTACCACCACTCCTGATCCCAATCACCAGCTCGGATGCGGATTCCTGACTGTCCAGCGCTTTGGGACCTGATGTGAAAGGTGCTATACAGATTTAATTTGTTGTTGATATTTTTTCAGCAACCAGCTACCAACCTGTAAAGCTTCCAAATTGATCTTTTTTGACGCTAAACCAGTGAATGTGGTCTCCAGCAGGGTTTGCACAAATATCAAATCCATTTTGAAACTTGTGGCTTAAACAAAATGCTGTTGCAGCAGTAAAACAGACATTTACTGTGATTTCCAGGCTAGTCCAAAAGGAATTATTGTCGGCAGCTAAGTATGTATTCCATAGGGTAGGGAACAGGATAGCAGAAGCTGCTTGGGAGTACATCTCCAATTCATCAAAGATTCCATTCAGCTTATCAAATACATTATTGGTCTTCACACATCATCTTGTGTGGTGTTTTATCCAGATCAGACATCTATTCTAATCTCACTCTGCTGTTCCCTGCCCCCACTCCATGTAATACATCTCTCTTGGAATAGCCTGGGGACTCTGTTTGTGGTCTGCAATGTTCACATTCCAACCACTGCTGTAGTCTCTCAAATGAATATTTTGGGAACAGTTGAGAAAAAGTCTTTTTTTAAAAAAAATGTAAAATATGACTTCACAAATTATAATTAAGAACATTGAATAGTCATAAAAACTGCTTTATTCAAAGAGCTAATTTGGAGCTCACTAGAGGTGATTACTGTAATACTAGCTGTTAAATAATTTCTACTTGTCATAAAGCATTACCTGAGTGCATAGGTGGAGGATGAAAATATTTTTTTGGTGGGTGGGGGCTGAGTAAAACTCAGTTAAAGGATTGATCCTCTTTAAGACGGGTGAACAGCTGGCCAATCAGAGATGAAGACATTCCCGACAAGTGTACCTCCCAGATCTGAAGTGGGTAGACACGACATCAGGTTGGGAGAGGGGCAAGAGGGACCTGTGGGGTCCATGGATTGGGGCAGCTTGGCTAACTGGCTATGGTCCTCCTCAGGGCTCAGGGCTTTCCCCTCCCAGTTCTCATTAAACAGGTAACTAAATAGATTTGGTCGGGGCTGAGCCCCCTTTAACCTTCACCACCCACGAGTGCCAACCCTCAGAGAACATTATGTGTGGAGGTCAGTAATGGAAATGAGAGACTACTCTGACATCCTCAAATGATGCATTTGAGGACATCGTCAAAGCACTCAGAAGAGCAGGGTGCTTTACAGGAAAATCATTGAATCCCGTAATGTAGTGATATATACTGGAGTCCTTTTCGATTGCACATGGTTCACATGGAACGTCATAGACCCATTGTCTGATGCAGCATTAAGGCATACAGCTCAAAAGGTTTGTTTATGTGTTGTTAGGCGGATGTCATCTAATACATCAGATAAGGGTGTACAGTAAAATTTACCTTAGTGCCATACGATACAAATACAATATAAAATTACATTTATATAGCGCCTTTCACATCGGGTGGATGTCGCAAGTCGCTGGACAGTAAGGAATTTGGAGCTGAGCTGGAGGATGGGAGGATGGAGGGCAGGGAGGGTGGCCGAAGGCTCGGTTGAAGAGGAGAGTCTTGAAGGAGGCAAGGGAGGAAGTAAGATGAAGCGAATATGGCATGGAGTTCCATAGTGTGACATGGTATTGCATAAAATAGTAATTGTATTTGACAATGGAACGTGCCCAAACCTATTAAGTTGTACCTGCACTAGTCAGCACCTTCAGGAGGAGGAAAGTGGAGGAGCGAAGTTTGGCAGAAAAATAGTAATGATATGACAGGAATATACAGGACTAGAAATAACCATTCCGGCCCATCTGACCAGGCCACAGTTTGAGGATTACTGTACAGTTTTCTTTCTTATAGCCTTCATTTGCTTCATGCTCCGTTGGACACCAGAATGATTGTCTTGCCAAACCGAAATCTTTACTATTTATTGTTTTCTTGCAGTTGAGCATGAAGCAATTGTGAATGAGGTGATGTTGATTTGCACTATGTTACTGACGTGGTGATGATGGGAAAAAGTGCTGTACCTATCTCAGTGACACTCGACAGCTGCAGTGATATGTAGAGGGTTCAGACAGTTACACTCTCTTCACTGAACAAGGGTGTTGTGGTGGAGAAATAGGGATTACTTTGTTAATGTTTCCATAGTTACAATTCACATGCACTGTCGCATGCTGAGTCCTATAATTGCATTGATGGGGCTAATTAGTCCTGGATTTGGTTTGAGATTCACCAAAGGTTAAAAGGTGCTTTGACTAAATCGCCAGAGGTTAATTAAGAAGGTCTGTGTAATGTCTCCTTCTCCAGAGTGGGTTTGGGGAAGTTTATAATCCTATGGACATCATAGATTGTTTCCTTGGTATCTCTGGCTGTGCTTGAGTAGCCAGGAGGGTGGGTGACTGGTCAGTGCTTTGTTCCTGCTTACCCAGAGACGATTCGTGCTTTGCCATCCATGTACAAGCTCTCATGGGTGAGAGCTAGTGGTTCCAGGGCTGAACTGATGGTATATTTTCATTAACGTCCACATTTTCTCAATTAGTGTGGTGTGGGAGGGGACAATGCTGAGTTCAATGCTCATATATTTCCTGAAGTGTATTTTTTCCTAACAAAGCTTTGACTTCTTTCTTCACTTCTAGGGTTTCCTCGTGTATTCAAAGCCGAAGAATGCCTGTGAGCCCATCATCTCTCCCCCACTGACTGACAACTCCAGCAACTTCATTGTTCTGATCAGAAGATTTGACTGCAATTTTGACATTAAGGTAAGTAGCCAGGATGTGTATAATTTGTACAGAGGCCATACCCCCTCACTTTACAGATTTCTCTCTCAGGCATTCAAGCGATCAACAAAAGTAGGGTCGGAATTTTGCCCATTTTGCAAGGTCTTAAACCCACTTCAAAAGTTCCTGTCCCAAACATTTCTAAGGAAACCTAAAAAGTTAGCTTCCTTCCCCAGTCCGACTCTTCAAATTGGGGAGGGAATTTAAAAAAAATCCTCTCTGTACTTTGCTATCTAGTCTTCCTCTGTAAGGTTTAATAAAAGGCAATGGCACCCACATTCTCTCAGTGTGACATGCTCCTAAATCCTGACCCTTTTCCTTGAGAAAGCCTGAATGTGGCATCAGGATCTGTCCAAACAGACTCCCTGGAGCTTTGGCAAGGTTGTCCAAGAGGCGAATGATTGTAGGCAAAACTCCCAACACGAAAGCAGAAAGGAAAAACAGGAACAGCCATTTTGGTTCTTGCAGCGGGAGTGCTAGTGGGGTTGCAGGCCACTATGAAGTATAGGGAATGTGCAAAATCCCTTGTTAGAAATACGTAGCTAGAGGGAATCGTCACATACTCATTTTCGTATTTCACACTACTGGGTTTACAATGGCAAACCCTTGTAAAAGGTGCACTGCTCAGACCATATTGAAAATCATGACAGCAGAGCTCATTCCTAGGAATTGAGTAATGAAAATCTTGGAATCAGACCTGGGCAGCCGTTTTACGGCTGATATAATTAAAACAGTGACCCAGAATCTGTGGATAAAACAACCTACATGTTCCCGCTGTGCCCGGAAAGCTCGGTAAAAGTTGCACGGACTAATCGTATCATCAAGGATGCGCTGAAAAAGCGTGCTTGAAAAAATGAAACAAATGGGACAAAAGAATTTCATGGGTTCTGATGGGGGTCATCAACAGACCTTTGAGTGACAGACCAGTCTTACACTTTTCTATCTGTTCCATGGGAGTCAAAATGATTACTCCAATAACTCAAACTCCTGCAAGTATTAGCACTGTACAGTTTGAAGAATTTCAAGAATCTCTAGCATACATGTTTGACGAGTACAATGAAGGACATAAAAGTGAAAAAAAAGTGTGAGTATCAAGAGGGGAATACGTGGCTTGGGAAAGCCATTACAAAACAGGAACTTTGAGGGATAGATTTCACAAACCAAACAAGATGTTGAAAATATTGAACCCAAAACTATTGCCATGCTAGCTCCAAGTAGGAAGACAATAACTGTTTCGACCAGTCAGATTATAAGAATATAGTTGTCTACAGATGATTTAAAGCGGGGGGGGCGGGGGGTGCATATGGGACTTTAGCCAACCCAGATCACTTTCGGTGAATGAAAGAAAAAAAGAGAGTTGAGGTGGAAAGACACATTCTGTGAGAATCGAAAGCACAAGAAAAGTGCCAACAGAAAATGGTCGCATGGATGTCAAGACAACTTCAAGGAAGCTATTGAATTGGACAAATTCTGCGAAGTGAAATTACAAATCTCTAAATTCTTAACGGGAAGGGGATTGTAACAGGCGATTCACGAGCTGCTCGATATGTGACCTTTAATGTGGTTTGCTTAAAAATGTACAGCATAAGTTCTTTGTGAACATATTACTGTTGTGAGAATTCTGTTTTCTTCTAGTAAACTCAAAAGAAGGCTAGAGAGGGTGAGAGAGAGACACACAGCTGAGGAAAGTGGAGCTCTGAGAATAGCCAGAATCCTATTGAATTCCGAAAAGGAAAAAAGACCTTTATGCTAATCCTGCCTGCATGTCGATAAACAAGATGCTACCTGCATAGTACTTATCGATAGAGGAAATGTCACGGTCACCTTGTTTTAATTAATGCTTTACCTCTTTCCAATGATGTTTGCTATAGTCTGTGTACATAGTTTGTGTAAAATAAGACGCTTTCGCTTTAACAACAACAAGATTCCATTTATAGAGCGTCTTTCACATCAGGAGGACGTCCCAAGGCGCTGGACAGTTGGGTCAGGACCCGAGCAGGGGGGAAATGGTCAGGGGGAGGGAAGGGAGGGAGCGAGGAGGGGGTAGACAGTTGAGAGGGGAGCTGAAGGCACAGTCAAAGAGAAAGGTCTTGAGACCAGCCTTGAAGGAGGAAAGGGAGGAAGCGGTGAAGGCACTGGGGGATGGAGTTCCAGAGCTGAGAGGCTGAAGGCTCGGCCACCGATGGTAGAGCGCTTGGGGTGGGGGATGTGGAGCAGACCGGAGCCAAAGGAATGGAGGGTACGGGCAGGTAGGTAGGGAGATAGTAGGTCGGAGAGGTAGGAGGGAGCAAGGCCGTGAATGGCCGTGAATGAGTGTAATTTAAGTGTAATTATGTAGTTTAAGTGTAATTATGTTCTAGTGACCAAAATATAATTTTAAAGCGCTACAGCCTTGACAACACAAAGTCTGTGACCTGGGTGAGTGTTGCAACAGAAAAAGCGAGAAAGAGTCACGGGATCCTGGAGCAGGAAGTAAGTGATTCATTGGAAGCGGCAGTGGTTGGGGGGGAGATTGAAAATGGAGGGAACATATACATTAGAAGGCGGAGGAGTTAGAAAAATATAAAAGGAGGGGGTTTGTTGAACTCGCTATTTTCATTTAGTGTCATCAAGGAGGTACGTGCCTGACCTGAGAGCCTTGCCTCCAGGTCAAGATTGTTTTTTCTTTGTCTACTATCTTTGAGTAAAGCTGCTAGTATTATAGTGATGGTGTCTATTTCTTAATGTTGCGACCATTTATCTTGTTCCGGGCAGTGTAAGTGAGGCATAGGGTTTTAAACACCAATAAAGTATCATTGAGTTTTCTATACAGTACATCTCGCTTCTGTTAAAATCAAGGAAGGAGGGAGAGACACAAACAGGTTACTGCGGAAGTCAGCTGTCTGATAGTGTGAATCACTCTGATTGAAGCATCCCTTTGTTGTGCAGTAAAGCATTGGGATTACCTGTCGCCATGTTAATTCTCATTTAGTGGAGTCACACTTAGAGACGGTGGGGCATTGACATTAAAAATGATCAACACAGAGGCCACCTGGCACACCGTGCCTTTGTCATAACATGGGCATACATTTAGGGGTGAGAACAGTCGCAGTGGGAACCAGTCTGATAGTTGAATCGATTGTTAAATAAATTGTTAGATCTGATTCTGATGAATGCACTGATAATGTAAAAGGTAAAAAGGAACGGGAGAATTGAATCATTGCGTTGAGCCTGTTCTACCAGTTTATTAGAATGTGACAGATGTTTTAATGCCAATACCCCACTCTTTTGTCATGCCCTTTAACACCTCCACTACCCTTGGGACACATCACGGATTCTTTCTATTTACAGCACAATTTGTTTCAGAATATGTTTGCCTACTCCCAGCACAGCCCAAGTCCTTTAAGGTAACTATTAGTTTTCTTGGAAGTAATTAAGTGACTGCATTATGGCTCTAAATGGCAGGTGTGTGATGGTTTTCATTTAAGAATTGCCACTAAATTTGCAATGTTAATGTTTAAATCTTCTTATCTCCCAATGACCTCAAATGCTATAACACACTGGGTTTCCTGCATGATGGATCACTATTACTGGATTTAGCAAGATGAAGCTATTGGCAGGCTAATTGCTTAGGATTGCAACTTGTAGATGAAATGGTTTGTGGAATATGTTGAGATGATGTGGGTCCCAGCATGCATTTCCGTTTATTAATTATTTAGTGACCTTTCCAATGAATGTGCAGAAACATTACAAGGGAGTTTTGTTTTAAAAAAGCAAGAATTCATGAAGCACATCTATGAGTGTCTACATGCCTCTTAACCTCCTGCTGAGTTGATCTGGAGACTGCTTCAGCAGTGGGTGAGTGGCTCTGTCCATGTTAGATTCCTGCAGGAACTTTTCTGTTTACTTTAAAGTATTGATGATTGCCCTCTGTCTCCATGGTGCATAACTGGAGTGATTCCTGCTGATTGCAAGGCTTTAGTAGATTGTTTGAGAAACGCCAAGGTCTTGTTGGTGAAAATTGCTCCAATGCTAATCATCTTTCTGTTTCTCACTCTCCCTATGCTCCATGGGAGAACAATGGGCTCTGACTGTTTTGACTGATTCACTGGAGTTCACAAGTGAGGAGGCAAAAGGGCTTTTTGTAACATTGTACAATACGGGGCATTCCATTCAAATCCATCTGTCCACGAATTATTGCATCTATCACCTTGACAGAAATATATGACTTGCAACTCAAGGCTCTTCATAATGGCTCACTGCATTGTTAAACCCAACACCTTGTGTGGAATTTAACCCAACAGCCTGGGACCAGTTTGTGTTGAACTAGATGATCTGTCCTTGAGTAGCAGTAGGAATACTAGAGTTGCTTTCAGCCCATTAGGCTGGGGAGGGGAGCTAAGGTTCCTACTCCTGATTGCTATCCCCCCGTCCTGCTCCTTTGTCCTTACCAGTGACCCTGTGTAACCCTATTTAGTTGGAATTGAGTAACTCTGGAGTTCTAATTTCTTTTCCTTTTCTCTTTGCTTATAAGAGCCTAATATTTGTTTATTAACTAACCACCTGGCTAAGAAGAGCAAATATCTGCCTGAAGCTGGGTCACTGTCTGGTGATCTTGTGCATGTTTCAGGAATTTGTTGGAGAGTGTTTGTGATTGAGTCTTTGTTGTTTTCTTGGTTTGGGAATTGTGAACAATGGAAGGGATGAAAACCGAACCATTACTGCAGAAGGAACATCTTTGATGCCATCCTCCTTGATAAGATAGCGAAAGTGTTCAATATGCTGGAACTCCAGCATTGTTCTTTTCAGAGGGCTAAGGTATTGTAGCGGCTAAAAATACACGTTCTTCTTCCACCTTAACTATTGAGAAATCTCGTAGTCTTAAGATGTCGTTGCAGTGTAGTGCTAGGAAGCACTTGGCAAAGTTGATGTCCTTCAGATAAGATGTTAAACATAATTCCAGGCTGCTTGTTCAGGTGGATGTTGAAAATCCCTTGACTCTA